GAACACATTAATTGCTAAGTATCTGGATGTTTTTCAGCATTTTTCGAAAATTGTTCAGTGATTATTTTGATAGGTTTACTCTTGATTTTCAATGACTGTACTTTTACAAGCTAGTTTTAGAACGATAGAAACTAAGGATTCTGTTAAAGGATAAAGCACTAACTCTACAATGAAGCATTTTAGTGACTAAATTTTATAGATTCTCATCAAGTGATGCATGTTCTGTACGCTAGATGACATAACATTATTTGTAAGTTACAACTCATCAAGTGATGCATGTTCTGTACGCTAGATGACGTAACATTATTTGTAAGTTACAAATATAAAGTACTCTGAAAAACTTAAATCGAAGTAATTTAAAAGAAAAAATACACACACTCACACTTATATATATATATATATGAACATTTCAATAAGTTATATATTGAATAAAAAGATTAAATTGTATTTTTTTTATTCAATCTGAACCTTTCTAAAATATTTCATACATTTTAAAACCGTTTACAGTACAATTTAAACATAATTATGTGTATTTTATAGGTGTAGTGTAAATATTCACAAGTACGATGTCACTGAAAAAAAAAAAACAATATGCTAATATGTTTTTTTTTGTTGCATTGCAGAATAACTGGTCTTGTTAGGTACAGTAACCACGTGATCATACCTGTGGTGAAACCTGAAACTGACCATAGTGGAAACATTTTTATATAGATTATCACTATTTTATGAATATATTTCTGTGTATTTTCTTCAGTGCAACAAGGCATCCACTAAGCCTTACGGATCATCCATGAGATTAATAGAGAGGTTGAGTATGTTATAGTTGGTACAGTCTGTGTTGCCATGGCCAATCATTCTCTATCTGACGATCGTGCACCTAGATAATAGGACTGCAGCATAATTTCCATTGCAAAAAGCTCCATCGTAAGGCTGACACGTCTAAAGCAAACAACTACTCCTTGCAAGTTTTCCATAACATATAAGGACGATGATTTCATGCGGAATAGCATGAATACCCATTTCATTCTTCAGCTGCTTGAGATATGCAAAAGTTGAAGGGAAGGTATGACTGGAAGCCTTATCTTGGTGAGCACGTACCCTCGTTTCAAGACAGAGATATTTTTGTGTATGCTTTTTACTGTTGCCTGGGGCAAGTGAGCGGCTTTTGTCCCTGACCTTTATGTTCGTGGATTCTCAACTGTTATAAGACGCTACACTTGGCTTATTACGACTAGCTAAGACTTGTTGTAAGTCTCTTTATGGATGGTCCTGATACCCCATTTGATTCACATTTATTTTTTTCTTCCAACAACATTAAGTACAAGGGATGTCCCAGTCTGAAAAATGCGAAATTCCCAATCTGAACATATCTTTTTAAGTGGGTGTATGAATACTTTGCGTAGAAATAGGCTGTTACATGCCTTTCCCAAAAGTAAGTCTCCTATTAGGCTTGCGATAAATTTACAGGCTTACAATGCTAAAATCCAGGGTTCAATTCCCCTTAGTGGACAGAGCGCAAATAGCCTTTACGATGAAACAAACCAGATAGAATCATTTTCAGTGAGCCAAACAATGCCAACATGTAGTTTTGATGCATTGCTTTTCATCGCGACTTTATTTCGGCTGGAGTTTTCACGTGACTTGCTGATTTGCATATTCAAAATCATTTTAATATACCGTAATCAATAATCTATAGATTTACTTAGTTTCTTACTTTGCAAAAATGCTAACAATGTTTGTATGGTTACTTATCTTTCAACTTCCGCCATTGATATGAAAAAAAAAAATTAAGCTATTGTATTCACACTTATGATTGTTAAAAAATACGTGGGATGAAAAAAATGTGTGGAAAATCATATTACAAAAAATCCGATAAAACCATACCAATATCAACAGGTAGAATGTGTTCAGGTGTAAAGAGAGAATGGTGAAATGGAACGTAGAGTGTACAAATAAGTAAAAAAAAAAAGGAAGATTAGTTTGATTAGTGACTTTTCCTCACACCCAGCTAATCAAACCTATTTCCAGTTTTACATTTATGGCCACGTTTTACACTCCATTTCACCTGTGTGTGCTTTGACCTTGAAAAATCATCTATTGAAAGCGCTAAGGTTTTTCTATCTGTGATCTGAGTTACTTAAATTATGACACTCTGTATGAAATACTAGAAATATATATGAAATCCAATATATCATTCTATTGAACATTTGTTACTGCGTTAAAGCGATTCCAACCCTCGTCAGTAACACTGGACAACTAACTGTAAATTGAAAGAACAAGACTAGGCTTCATTTTGAGCAACTAAGTGTAAAAAATTGTATCTAAATAATTTAAAAAACAGATGAAAAGCCTTACCTATTAATTTGTGGGAATATCTCTTGTAGGAGGTTGTACGTTTGGAACGGAAGCCAGCAGATTACGAACAGAGCAACAACAATAAAAAGCATCTTGATGACCTAAAAACACGTAAAATCGATTAGTTATGCAGATATCGTCTGTCATAATACGATTATTATGAGATATAGTCATACTAATACATAAATAAAAGAGCTAAAAGTTGATAATCTATGTTTGCATCTTGGAAAATTATAGAACAATAAAATAGAACAAAAACGCAACTGTGATAGTTAAAACAATGAACAAGAAAGCACGGGATTGAACTTTAATTATTAATCTTATTTTACGTAACAAAGTCAGTATCATTCTAGTTGTGCAGTCAGTGGAACATGGCTTCAATTTAGCTACTACTTATGTTTGCATATGAAATGAACTAGTCTTTAGACGTACGGTATTTTCTGTTGTTTTAAATAGAACATTGAATGTACTAGATTGTTAGAAGTTAATTTGTTCCAAACACCTTAATGTCATCTTTCAAACGGTATATATAAACAATACTAGTTTACTGTGTAGGCTGAAATGTAAATAAAAAAAGAATTTAAGATAAATACGAAACTTTAAATGAACTATTACGTATAGACACTGACATTGGCTTGCAGAGGACAAAAAATTACAAAGTCATTTATTTTGTTCCGCTAACTTTCTTTTTTAAGTTTTTAAGATTATTATAACTATGAATTATCTTGGTAAAATTTCTGAGTCTCAGTTTAGTTAGCACTAACGTTTGGTTGACAGAATTTTGTGATTAATCTTCTACGTCCGTATAGTGTCAAAGGAAGAGCCAGTGTGGCACACTGTATTAGACATGACGAAATAATTAGAACCAGTAAAATAAAGGCACTTTGAGTGATGGTAATTCTAAAAAAAAAAAAAAATAACTCTCAACAGCCTTTACAGTTATCTACTGCAATGTTTATTCTCAAAAAAATAATATTACAACTACAGTCTTTCAAAATTTTATAGTTATACAGATTTAAATCATATGTCTAATATTTTTGAATAAATTAAGCTTCCTTACAGGTTGACTGGATATCTTCTTAAGCCCTTGCTAGCACAAGTAAACAATTAGGCAACAATTAGAGACTATTTCTTGGAATTTTCTAATGCAGATTGCCAGTTTTCCCTAGCGTGAGATATTTTTAAAACCAGTTAAAACATTTCGAGCTAGATAACACCAAGCAATACACAATTATGTTTGTTTCAGAATCCGCGCAAAGCTACATAAGAGCTATCTCTCTGCTCATAGCCGTCGGTACTTATGAAGGCAGCTAGTCAACAGCACCCACCACCAAGTACTCTTCTGTCATCAAACAATAGGACATAACCGATATATATCTTGCAATGTGAAATATAAAGTTTACTATATCTATACTGAACTTATTACTTTCAGCAATTTTGCTAGTTAATTTTCTTCCGTAATGAAAGTTGTTTCTTTTCAACTCGTTGAATAATCATCATCTATACCTTTGCAGGATATATTAACATCCTCAGTAGTTACCCTCAAAATATATACATTTCCTGCGATAATTAGTCCTAACAGGGTATTTATATAAAACAGCTGGTTTTCTTCGTAAAACAGCAGCTGTAAAATCCGGTATTCAGTTCACCATGGTGAACAGCTCATTGAGAAGTGGTTTTGTGCTGAAAGAAATGATCATCATACAGTATGATTTGTTACCCTTAAAACCATACATAGCGCTATCTATTGTTACATTCGCACAATATAAAAGCTTCATCATGTTTCCTAGAATTTCAATAAAATATAGAATTATCGAAAAATCAATACTACAGTAATGATTATGCTCAAGATTATTAATACAATCAATAATTACGCTTATAAGATAAAACATGAAAAACTACATTTGCAAGGCTTATATTAAATGCAGAATTTGATGTTTGTAGCATTTCCTTTCATTAGATAAATAATATGTTCGCGTTTATAGAGAACCCTCATCGATTACGCTCAGAGGTTACATAATACTCTTTATGGATAACTTTTCATTCCCTGCCCTCATAGGGTGTAGATTAACCTCGTGATTATGCTCAGAAGTTATATAACACCCTCTAATGATAACATATCAAAACATGATGTTAAACACCCTCACAATAAATAGCTCAGTGATTATCAACTATTGTTAATAGGCGATTTATATCAGCACTATTAAACAATAAAGAATTGATAGTCCCGGTCAGTCATCCATAGTCATAAACGGATAAAGCTTGTTGTAATAGCACCCAAAAAGCGTTGGGGATATCCCATCTATCAAGCAAAATCCAAACGCCGAAGTTAATCAAGTTGACCATCATGGAAAATCAAAACAAGGGCGAAGAGGTGAGTGCTTAAACCCACAACGTCTCACCTCCTATTGCCTTTCGCTATCTGCAGCCAGATATGGGAAGACAGCTACCCTTAAAGTTATTTAAGTTTTAAAAGTGGAAACAGAACCACCCAAAATTTCTAAAGTATTGTACTTTCAACCACCACCCTTATAAAGGTAGTAGTAAAAAACACCCATAAACAAAAAACCCGCAAAACACAAAATGAACAACTGAAAATGTGTATGTAACCCCTGCATGGACCTAATGAACCTCCATACCAATCCATCCACACCCTGCGAAGTAGTTATATGGACCTACAACAGACAGTACTATTATATTTATATAGATTCGGTTAAACACTTTTGGGCAAAAATTCAAATAACCAACGGTATTATTGTTTGTCCCACATTCATGTATTCAAATAACCAACGGTATTATTAATGCTTGGAGACGGCTTGAATGGCTGATGAAGAAAAACTTTAATATAAGTTAAACATAACAACAAATGTACAATGTTTCGACAAGGTTTTGTCATCATCAGGTACAAGTAGTTTACACTGACACAGATATATATATATATATATACAGTATGGAACAAAAAGGTCACATGACCGGATACTGTTGCAAAACCTAGAAGAGGTACCTGATGATGACAAAACCTTGTCGAAACTTTGTACATTTGCTGTTATGTTAAGCTTATATTAAAGTTTTTCTTCATTACCCATTCAAGTCGTCTTCAGCCATTATTAGTCTCAAAGTGGGTTCCTCGTCATCGAACTAGAAGAGGTATCTTGGCACCCCAGGGTGTTGGTTTAGAGTAGGGTTGTTTTGTTGAATTAAGATGGATTCCTTGATTTTCGTTTGTTTATGTTGGGCTCTTTGTTTAAAATGACTGTAATACATAATTAATTTAATAATTAATAATTTTTAATACATACACTATGGTTTTTTGAGTTGCAATGGTGGAAAACATGGGACGGTTTTTTATTGTGTTCTGTGAATCTGGTTTCCAGTTTTTTCCTGTTTCTCCTATGTAGAATTCTCGGCAGTTATTGCATGTTATCTTGTAAATGAACAAACACGAAGAAACGAAAAATCAAGGAATCCATCTTAATTGAACAAAATAACCCTACACTAAACCAACACCCTGGGGTGCCAAGATGTCTCTTCTATGTCATGCAACAGTATCCGGTCATGTGACCTCCATGTTCCATAGTGTATATATATATATATATATATATCTGTGTCTAGTGTAAACTTCTTGTACCT